GACACAGCAATGCTGCTCCAAAACCTCTAATATATTAGAAATCTCTACGTTTCAAGCCTTTATCTGTTCATAAGCGGTTGATACCCACTTAGAGTAAAAGACAAAATGTGAAACAAAACCAACGAAATCTGAGTTTAATTTTTAACAATGCTAGAGTGTCAAGAGTCTCCTACTTCAAATGCAGAACAAACCCTTTTGGTCCCAGTTACTTTTGTTTCTTTTTTGTTTTGTATTTTTAAGTCAGTATTTATGCATACATAGAAATGACAGTACTGGATGTGTAATGTAAAATTCAACTTCAATTTTAACTGATTCCTGCAAAAGGAGCAGGAACAGAGGCAGCCTCAGGGCAAATGAAAACATTTAACTTTGGGCATGAGTGAATCAAGATTTTTCTTTTTTTTTTTTTTTTTTTTTTTTTTTTTTTTTTTTTTACAGAAGAAAACCTGGGATTACTGATAAGATTTTGTAATAAATTTTCATTCTCTACCTTGTATATTTTACTGTCTGAAATCTGGAAGGACCAGACAACAAGTGGTCAGCACTTACCATATATATCAGGTTAGCTAAAATGCACTGGACTTCATCAATATCAACATCATCTACTTGCATGAATTTCAGGGCACACAGAAAAGCATCTAGGGATAGCTGATGGGTTTTGAGTAGTAAATATCTGAAAGAAATAACAGGGAAAAAAATCTGTTATTGAGAAAAAAATCACTTAAAAATTCTGGTTCTTAGAAAACGAGCCTTTCTACAATGAATTAATTTTAACAGGAATTCATCTCTCTCAGAGAGAACTAAGCAGCATACACATTTCTATCTCAGTTCTAGGTGAAACCATATTAAATCTGCTATGGCAAAAAAAACCCAAAACCAAAATACACTAGGTTTTGTTATGCTTACACTTTCTTAAAGAGATTTCTGTACGTGATGATTTTCAGCTTTTCGAGGATAAGAAAGATTCCACATCGAATAAAGAAGGTCTCATGCTTTGTCAGAGCATCATTCAGGAGGAGAAGATTGCCTTCACTACAAGGATGAAGAAAGGAAAACATGAGAAGTTGTCACCCAAATGAGAACAGAAATTGTGTGACTTGGTAGGAATATCCCTTTCTGCCCTCCTCAATCATCCCAAATAAATAAATACCTTTTACATAATACTTTTTAACTAACACACAACACAACAATCGACATACCTTACAGCCTTTCTTACTTCAGCAAACTGCAGAAGGTCATACTTTTTTAAGAGCTGAACTGTTGGCATATGGCCCTGAAAAATAAACAGTTTCAAGTTTTCCAGGGTGAAGTCAAATGCATTTTAAATGTAATGTAGTAGGCTATGAAAACAAATTTTAGAGAAAAAAATACAAATGTTTAACCACTTTTTTCTTCTACAGAGTAAGAGGTGAATAAAATGTCTATGTAAGACAACTTCCTTGCCCCCACCAAACTGCTTATAGCTCAACTCACTATCATGGTTTAGGCAGTCTTAATATTTCTTAATGCTGGGGAACAGTTATTAAACTCGTAAAATCAAGATCCTGTGACATGAGGCCTAGACAGATCCAAATTTTATATCATTGCTTTATGATCTAATCTGCAAACAGAAGAACCATGGGAATCTCAAGCATTGCTAATAATACAAGCAGTGCTGCAGCACTGTCAAGTGCTAGCTCAGTCTGTACCAGATTTTTTTCTTCACTATGCCTTCATGTGCAAATAAAAATGTCCTCTCAAAAAACAAATACAGACACAAAGAAGAGAAAGTTTAAATTTAAAGAAACAAAAATAATTGTCATTGCTAGATCAAGCAATATTTAACCACCTCCACTATCAAACCTTTTTTTCTCCCCCTGCACAGCAGAGATCATATTGCACACTGACTTGGGTCAGACTTTAAATTTAGTTACCATCATACTATGCTGTTGGTAACTCCTTTCCTCGTTGGGAGGATTAGCCGAGAGCAGAACTCGGCTGCATGTTTACCAAGAGCTGCTAGGAATAAAAACCCATCCACAATATTTTAGTTTAAGGTGAGTGTTAATGTTTGGGCTGATTTAAAAAAATAAAATAAAATAAAAGCAGCAACTGTAAAACCTGACCATCTAGTTTCTTTAGTGCCTTTTGTACATTAGAACTGCTCCAGAAAAGCCACAGTAATTTAAGACACTAACGGACCCACCAGTTTAAGGCACCCAGTCAGGACTGAGACAAAGTTTTTAGGAAGATTTAGTTTTCCTTTATCAACCCTTCCACTGACTGATCTGAAAACAACCAGTAAGAAAGTCAACAAATAAAAAATGAAAAACAGAAGCCCATTATCATTCCCACTATGCTTTCCCTTTACCAGCTTGACACTGCAAAGGACTGGAAAGTGAGCACTAAGCAAAAAAGGGAGGATGGTCATAAACAGTTTGAAACAAAGGCAGAAGATGGCGACTTTCAGAAGGAGGTGGTAATAGCATTCTCCATGGGTAACTTTGGTAATAGGGCCAGGAACCTCTGAAATCTAGTTCTTACCCCCTCAGCTACACTAAATTAATTGTTAGCATAATCCCACTAACTGAGGGATACACAAATGCTAGCACAGCACATGAGAAAGGATAGGAACAAGAAGCAGAGATGCACTTCATTCTTTTCATAGAAAGGTGAAATGATCAAATAGTAACCAGCCTTCACTTATTTGTTCAAAGTCGAAATGCTGCACTTCATGTCCCTTCTGACATGCCTTGAATGGGCAAATGTGCAAGGTGCAAATAGAAAACCCAAAGATAGGAATCCTTTCTCTCCAGTGGCAAACCCCCTCAACAATCCTCAGCCGTATGTTTTCACATCCTGCATCCTTTCACCAAGTTAAAGAAGCAGATTTGTACTAATGAATCCACTCATTCCCTGGCCTATCTATGCACCTGATGACCAGACAGGCACCCCTGTTACATGACCTAAGTTACACTGTCAAGAGCTTCTCCAAAGAACTCAAAAGTTATCTTTATTAAAGAAGTAACTTTAGGT